TCATTCCTGCAATGGATTAAATGCTCCATTTCCCAGAAAAATAATAAAAAAGAAATCTAATTGAACTGTCAAAATGCTTTCTAATCTGAAGTGGTGCAGGATTTAGTTGTTAAGTTCTGAAGAAAAATAGACAGAAACTCAAATGCTTCTGAAAGGAGGAGCCAGGAATCACTCACTGCTCATCTCGTAACAAGACTTTTTGGCACTGAAATGCTCTAAGGCGCTTTATTTTACTTTCGTTACTTTGTCGCCACAGTATAACACAGAAAATACCTTAGGTGGGTATAGGTTGTCATTTTGAGGCATGTGAAGAAAAGAAGAATCCAGTGAGTGGTCCCTTAGTTCAAGCAGCGTGTGAGATACGCCACTTTGGGTAGAATCGTTAAAAACTCATTAAGGTGGAAAGTGCTCCAGGTACAGGGTGAGTATTGCTACCTCATCTCCATTTATCAGGTTAGATCAGGTTTTCCTGTGACTGCTTTTTTAAGACAAGTTACACATCCATTTCCCAAGCAGAAATAGTTTTTATGCCCTGTGCTGGACTTCTGCATCCTGTCTCACAGGCTCTGGAGTTAACCTGTGTGGTAGCCATTCATCCAGCTTGCCTTTACTCTCAGCCATGGCTTACAAAGTGTTTGAGAATCCAAATAAAAAGTCAAAACTTTTTGTAGCTACATTTTGAAAACTGACCTCTGGTTTTTAATCCCTGGAGCCTATACAAAGAAGAAACTTTTATTGCTTTAGCTGCTTAACCAGACACTTGTGAAGAGGAAGGAGATGCTGCTCAGGACAAGAAGAAGGCCACAACATGGGCAACACTGGTGGAGGACACCCAACCAAGTCAGCAGGTATCAGAAGTACCTTCCACATGTGAGCTTTTACAGAGAGCTGAAATTGCTGGCAGGGAGCCCTGTAGTCATCAGAGAAGGTACTTTATCCCTCTTTTCCTGCAGCAGCACCAGCTGTAACTCATCTCTAGACCCAAAATATTTCCATGCCTATCACCAGCTAGTAACTGAAGTGAGATCAGTGAACCTTCTTGCAAAGTTTGTGCTCTATATGCCAGAGCTAGACATCTGACAGAGTACGAGTCTAATGAGAAGCTCTCAGCTAAAAGAATCAAGTTTGCTTTAGCAATGCACTAGCATGCATGACTATCCATGGTTTCCTAATTATTGTAATATACTCAATCTCCCTTATTAATGAGCATTTTTCTGCATGAGGACTTTCTATTCATTGAATTAATTGTCACTTTTAGCATTATAGAATGTTCAGATTTACAGTCCTAACTGTGGAAAGAACAAAGGAGATAAAGAGAAAATTGTTAAAAATATTGTACAAGTCACTTCCAATTTTTTTCAAGAGCATTTTAGGAGACTAACACGGAGAGAAAAAAAGAGGGAAAAAAATTATTTGCATCCTTGAAATCCTAGATAAGAAATTACTGTCTTATCAGGAATTAATTTTTATTGTAGAAGTACAGATCAACTTTTTCCTTGAGAGAGGTTGAAACCTGTTGCAATTCCACTGGCGTTGTGTCAGACAACTAATAATCTCATAGAAATCAAAATTGCCTCTGAACATATCCAATTTTACTCAAAACATTGTCAAATGATGAAAGTGCTTATGTACTTACAGTTGAGAGTGATCTCTGGTTCTGAGCCCCAGAAGGAATGGCAGGAGACTCCTTGTCAGACTTTTTAATAACTTGAATCTAATTTGTACAATGTGCCACAACAGTGAAGTGAGAGTTGTCATATAGCAGGAAATTAAGCAATGACAACAGGCACAGAAATCTGAAGGAAAGATGAATTTCAGTACTTTTCTCATCTTTTTCCTACATTCACATACTGCAAGGCTGATGTTTGTTTTTGGAGATTGAATTAATTCACTGCCCATGTCATTCAACAGCCTTCACTACCGAATGATTCATCTGGTGCATTCTTAACAGCAGCCTTCCAGAAACACTGCATCCCCCGTTCAAGTTAAAAACAAACAAACCAACCAATTAATTACAACCTGTCCCTCATGATTTAAAAAAACCCAACAAAACAGACAACATACCACACAACGAAAAACCCTGTCACTTGTGTACAATATTTGTCACAGCTGGAAAACTGAGAAGAAATAGCTTATGGCAAGACTATGGCTATAAAAAAAATTACATAAATATGTGTTAAACTACTAGAAGCTTTGACCAAAGATGCATGTAAGATTACAAGACCTCTTTAGGAAAAGAGTACCATCCCTTCTTGGACGGATACAATTGACTAAGACCTGTAAGTCTGAACTCTAATTCCTACAACTTTTTAATTTAATTTAATTATATTATATTATATT